ATTCTGGGTGTGGCCACAGTGGTCGGACAAACTCAGCCCAGGGTAAGTTTCTATGGATGTTTTCTGAAATTTCAGAGCCCCAGGTGCACTGTATCCGAAAACAACATTCTCTAGTCTTACAGGAGATCTTGTACAGAGCCGGGCATTCTGTCCCGCCCGAGGGAGAACAAGAACAGTGGAGAGAAAGCAGACCGGGTCCCTCCCCACTCATCTTACGGCTGAAATGTGCAGCGGAGAACATCTCCGAAGTTCTCTCAGGGCCCAGAGTTCCCAGCTATGCTCCCCGAAAGGGTCTGAAACTGGCTACCGGTCCCCAAAAGCTTATTCCTCTTGCAGATGTATGTGCAGCTCACATCTGTGAGAACTCTGGACTGCCAGAGACCCACAAAAACAGAGAGGGTCCTCGAGGCTAGAGAAGTTCCATAAACTAAAAAGGTTGTTGAAGATGGAGAAATGCTGACTGTAAAATAGTATTTGGCAGTTTAACTATCATGATGTGAAATGTCACTGCTAAATTCTTCACCAGAAAATGTGGGTTAAGCTCCATGACTTCCTTTCCTAGAGATTTTTATTTTTAGAAAGATGTATGACATACTTCTGTCCAGGTTGGTTTGGGTAGTAGGAAACGTAGAATGGAAGAACCTTGAGGCCTTTTCCGGTTTTATATTTCCGTATAGCATTCTCTTCTGCCTGGGGGGCCGCCTTTTTACCCACCTGGCAAACTCCGTTTCACCCTCTAGGCCCAAGCATGACTTCTCTGGTGAAGCTTTCCCTATACTTAGGGTGCAATTAAGGACTTTCTCCTCTCTGTGCTCAAAAAAACCTAAAACTATGTTTGCTTAGCAACACTGTTTTTAAAATGCAACAATGTGTTCTTGACTATGGCTTCTGTGTTCATTCACCTTGTATTCTTATCACTGTGCTGGCAAATAATATCATCACAATAAATATTTGGTGGATGAATAAATAAATTTGACAGAGCATAAATTTCTATCAATATAATAGTTTGCTTTAATAGGTGGTTCTATTTCAACATAACTTTGTTTGTTTCTATATATTTTATATGAGATCCATCATAGTTCTCTGAGCATTCTGTTTGGAGCCTCCTAAGATCATATATCTGGAACTCTCTCGCATTACTAAAAAGTCACTAAAAAAAAAAAAAAGAAAATTACAAATTACAAAGAACACACTTTGTCACATGCCTGGATATCTTTTGAGTTCTGAGTGGATTACCTTAGAGCCTAACATAAAATAGTATTCAAACCTATAAATACCCTAACCCCTTACACATTTTTCCTTATAACCACATCAATTTCTTATTACATGAGCATGACACTAAAAATGAGAAACAGTAATAACAATAACAAAACTCAAACTATATTTATAAATAGTAGAAAGTAAAACAAAAATCTGCCAACTAATGCAGGGTTCCAATTGGTCATGTCAAAAGATTATCTAGCTCTGGCCAGTTTGGCTCAGCGGTTGGAGCGTCGGCCTGCGGTCCAGAGAGACCCGGGTTCAGTTCCCACTAAGGGCACGTACCTCGGTTGCAGTTTGTCCCCGGCCCTGGTTGGTTGTGCGGGTGGCAGCCACTCGATGTGTCCCTTCACGTCGATGTTTCTCTCTCTCTCTCTTCTTCTCTCTCCCTCCTGCTCTATCTGAACAAAAAATGGAAAAATGTCCTCGGGTGAGGATAAAAAAAAAAAAAAAAAAAAGATTATCTATATCAGCAGACTTCTTGAGCAAAACACTTCCCATACATGTTAATTTCTTATATACATTATGTCAATAATATATATATTTTTAATCCTTACCTGAGGATATTTTTCCATTTATCTTCACAGAGAGTGGGAGGAAGGGAAGGAACGAGAGAGAAACATTGATGTGAGAGAGACACATTGATTGGTTGCTCCAGCACGACCCTGACCGGGGCCGAGAACTGAACCACAACCAAGGTACGTGCCCTTGACCAGAATCGAACCTGAGACTCTTTGGTCTGAGGGCTGAGGTTCTAACTGCTGAGCCAAACTGGCCAGGGCAATAATATGCATTTTTAAATGTACTTCAGGCCCTGAATAATTAAAGCAAACCTTCTTATCATTCCCACAGCATCCCAGGATTAATTGCAGTGCAAGAGAAAAAAAAAAAAAATCACTAAACTATCCATTTATTTATTTCCTCATAGTTCTCAGCTCCCCTCACCCCCAACTCCAATATTTCAGTTCTTCAACTACACCTTCACCTTAAATCTCCTAGAAAGTGGGTCAGTCTAACTAAGCCGGCCACCAAGGAGGGCAGTGGGGATAACCACTGAACGCTGTCGGCATGCCCTGCTCCTTCTCAATTATTGTTAAGATTTTGCCTTCCTGTATTTTTCATCTCCAAGACTTCCCTATGAAGGCACTTTTTCCCACTTTCTACACAGATCAGCAAAGTGAGCACATCCAGTAAGTTGGCCAGCCTACAGAAGGAAAAATGAACAGATAGTTCTTTCCCAGATTTTAGTCCCAAAGGACTTAAGATTCCCCACACCCCCCGCCCAAATTGCTATTTATTCTACAAAACCCTCGTCTGGCATTTGTCTTATGCCACCTTGCCCTGCTCTCCCAGTGCTTCTTCAAGAAGCATGCCCTTGAAGGTGAAATCGACTTCAAGTCCTTTTGTCCCCAGAGTGCCTGCCTGTGCCTAGCGGGCACCTTGTGGGCGGTGGTAATGGGACCCTCCTCCTCTAGTCTCTGGTTGGAAGGGAGGGCCCAGAATGGTCTCCTCAAAAACCTTCAGACCATTTTCAATGCACACTAAAATCCATTGCAGGGAGGTGTGGTGGGCAAACGGGTTCTATCTCCACTGTAATGCTGATCATGAAAGTAGCAGCTGCTCCAAAGGGCTGGTTCAAGGAGGATAATGAAGCCACATCTGGACTCGGAGTCTGTGCACTGTCGGATGAGAGATGTCTGTCACACGCACTGGCGAGGTGCAGGTGTGGCAAACACTTCTGTTTAAAGTGTTTGCCATCTTGGTTCTAACCACTTAGCCAAAATCGGAATTTCAGTTAGTTCAAGAATGTCTTACTGTGTAAGTTCCTATTTCCAAGTGAAGTGTTAAGCCAGAGATAGACGGTTCAAAGTATTCCAAATATATGTCCATGTGTAACCCTTTTGCATAAAAGTTGGGCGAAGATACTCTTCCTTGGTGAATCAAACTTCCAAGTCAACACCATGAACCCGGTGTTCCCTCCTCTTCCCACGGGCACAGTCAGAACGTTCTCCGGAGCATTCAGGACTTTGCAGGTGCTGCTAGCTTTTCTACAAAAGCAAAAGCATCAGGGCTCTTTGCTCCAGAAGCCACCCCAGCCGGGATCCCTTAAGGACTGCATGGACTGTGGCCACTCTTTCATCCCAGCAGATGCTGTGCTCTTCTGTTTAAAGAGTTCCCTTCTCTCCTTACTCTCCCCCAAATCAAAGACAACTGTAAGATCAGGGGTGACAACGTTTAGGAGATATGGCTTCAGACTTTTTCTCGTGAAAAAGCCATTAAGTCATTTCACAATGGAGAGAAGACAAATTCAACACCTCCCCTCCACTGGGGTAACAAAGTGTCCCGGGGGCTCAAGCAAACTCACCATAACAAATCACACTCGTTCCTCTTTTGTTTCTGGCACTGTTCTCCTCAGCCAGAAAAGCCCCTCATTTTCTTCTAATGTAAAATGTCAAAGAATCCATTTCGTAATTCGTAGTTAAAGGAGCGCATTACAAAGTTAAGCGCATCACTGAGAGCTGACAACCTCCTCTTCTCGCTTTCTAATCGCATTTATTATCTTTCCCAGGCAATCTTCATCAGTTCCCATTTGTCTAATCAAATTGTATTGTTTAAAAGCCAATTTTACTTAATACCTGCTGTCCTCTCTGCATCGCAGTAACCAACACACATCCTTGGTCTCTCTCTTCCCCAACTCTTCTAGGGCGTTCATGCCATTATGGAACTGCTTGACAGGCTCTCCTACTTTCTAGGACTGTGAACAAACACTTTAGGCCCGGGTCATCTAAAAGCTCCCTTAAAAAAATGTCAATGGTTATAATGGAATAAAAGCCTTTGTGAGACAGAACTGTGTCAGAATAAGAAAATAAGTAAAAATAGGTTGCTTTTCTCAAGAAATATTCTTTCTTTTGTGAAAAGGCCAATTTGCCTTTCAAAGTGAATGCAGAATCTTCTAAAAGCTTCCCCAAACCCCAAATATTGAAATCATTTAAATAAACATCTCAAGGAAGAGAAAAAGACGTGACCCACACACGAGCATTATAGGGCACAAGAGGCTACAGACGGGACTCGATGGGCCCGGAGCATTAGCCCAGCTGAGCCTGAGGTCAGAAGGTCTGGGCGTTCTGCATGAGTTTGTACTTTATCCCACCCCCATGGTCTTTTCTTCCCTGACTGCAGACCACAGAAGCCCAACTGGACAGAAGTCAGGTGAGCAGGAGAAGCTCACCTCAGACTGAGGGGAGGACTGGAATTCCATGGCTACTTTATGTATCAGCTGAGCCCTAAAACATATTAAAAATAATTAAAGGTATGTAGTACTGCAAAGTATTTTAAGGGCAGGCATGGCCAAAAGTGTGCCTTGTTTAGTATGGAATATTAAATTGAATAAATATGGGGGAAAATGGTTAAAAAAAATAGAACATGTGATAAGAGTAAAGGAAACAGGATGTTTTTCAGCAAAAAGGATCCAGCCTAACCCCTTTTCTTGTCAGGTCAGTATCTGCTACAGGTGCACTGGTCCATGGAGTGCAGAGAAAGCAAGAATGATGAGCAAGGGGCTCTGTAAATACATTTTGAAAACTACTGACCTAGAGTTTCAAGACTTTCTAGGAAACCAAACTTAAAATTACCTCTTTACTAATCAGACACAGCACATGTGCCTTATCGCCAACTTTTAACCCCTTCATTGCTGCCACAGTTTTACCCGTCTTTAAGTAAAAACAAAACAAAATAAAAAGCTATGTATTTTTATTTTGCTCAAAAAGGTATTTAGGCGCACAGGCAGGGACAGCTCTCACAGGGACACAGAACACAGTCATGGCCATGAATACCTCCTATACCTTGAAAGGTGGAAGAGCACCAAAAGTAATTTTTTTAAACAAAAATGGGGCCTAAAAATAAGTGCATAGGTGAAATTCTTGAACAGTAACTAGCCTACTGATAGTTGACCTTGTTCAAAGCACCACACAACAATGTGTGTTTACATCACCCTTTTATTTCATAGTTAGAAACAGTACAGTTCCACAGGGTAAATCATCAATAAATAACGATGTTTAATCATTAAACGTAAAATTCCAACTCTTTGGCATCTGACAGGATTCTATTTCTTGTCAAACTAATGACTGTATAGAGATAGTTAATCTTAGTGATCATTCGTCAATACAATATGTTACAAAGGTGCAATTTATGTTAAAGTATCAACAGCTGAAAATGTCCAGCCCACTAAGAAATTTGATCAACTCGGTAAGAGGTGGGCCAACTTCACCAAGGTTCTTTCACGTGTTTTGCCTCAGTGAAGTATAATAAATGTTGATTAAGAGTTCCTAGGGTTTTCTAGTACTTATTCCACTCTAAATAGTTTGCCATTCATTCTGGCTAAAGAAAAGTGCACCAGGAACGGCCCACTCATTAATTAAAAGGTGTTCTTATTTTATAAGCAAGAGTGCTAACACCTAAGAAACTCACAGCCCCAGAAATAAAATTTTAAATAAGCAGTTCTATGCTGCCAGAAATGCCAATTCAGTAAGTAATAAATTGCACCTTCAAGAGTCAAAAAAGAAAATAGAACGTTTTACAAAAGGTAAGTTTACATACATTTTTTTTTTCCCAAAATATATTCAAGAATAGTTGAGCTGTATTTGTTACTAAAGCCAGGGCAATATTTCTTTAGCAACAAATTAAACCAGTGCAATTGACATAAATTGTTAAGTAATCCAGGATTAACCCATTAAAACTGTAGAAGCATTTTTAGGCTCCTACACTAATCCTAGAAACTGGAATTTCAGTGAGTGCTTACGCTGCAAAAAACTAAAACTGGAATGACCCAATGCCATGCTGAATGGTATCACTTCATACTTATTTGAGTAGAAATTATGAGTTCCTCTAGGAAAGTTCCATTCACTTACAGGACATTCATATGCAAACAGTTTTATGCCTATAATCCACAACTAAAAGAATCCTTTCCATTTTTAAGTTCCAGATGAATTTTAAATTAGAAAATAAGCCCAAAGGAAACTTTTTCAACTTATGAAAAATTCACATTGGAAACTTTCTGGAAAAGCTTCCCACCCCCACCCCACCTATTGTAAAATAAATACTTTGTATCCCAAATTTAATTTTATTAAGACACATGTTAATAATGCTATAAAGAAATATTTTACAGCCATAGAGATCAGTAACTTTCCATGCGGAAATAAAAAATCCACTGCTCAATAATATTATTGAGTCAAGTGAAGAAAGATTATTCTCGTCAATCTGAATTTTTTTTTCAGTGCAAAACCAGTTATAAAATATTTAAACTCAATATTCAAAAATAAAAAGTGGTCCAATTCAGCAATGTTCAAGTTCTAAATTTCATAAAACAAATCATTACATACATTTTATAGTAAAATACAGAGATTAAAGTACTTGAGTACTTAAGATATAAATTTCTAATGAATCAAGTCAGCAACCACCGAGCAGACAGCATTCCCAATTCAAGAGTCAGAATCATAAAGATCTTACCGTACCAAAGCCTCTTTTTCCTAGCTAAAAAGCTACATGAACTAATGATCAACATTCTATTTTCTCTGTAGTTGCGTGCTCTAGAACAATTTCTCCCCCAAGTACCTGTGATTTTATTTCTGTATTCAAAATTTGATCCAAACAATTTTGATGTTCCTGGAACACTTAGCTGATATAACCATCTAGAATGTGAAGAGTCCTGTACAGAGTACAACACTGGGTTTTTCTAGCCGAGTGCAGGCTGCCCTAAACTGGTTTACACACTCTGCGGGCCATTCATGTATTATTCCTAGCAAACACACGGTCCCCCCTGAGGGTTAGGTGTTGAAGCTGATACTGTAGCACTTCTGTGTCGGCTGGCTCCTTGATGTTCATTTTATCTAGATTGAGGTAGTCCAGAGATTTGGAGTGAGCCCTCTTACCTTTAAGAAGACAAAGAGGCAGAGGCCCATGGAGGGCCTTATAAGGTTCATAAGGTAAAGATTTAGTGCACTTGTCTCCTGAGCTGGGCATCCGCCTTCGCCTCCTGCCGTTGACAGCTGGAATCTCGTATGGCTGGTAGTACCGACTTCTGGTTTTATACAGACGAGAGGACCGTGCAAGTCCTGCATCCAGCTGTTTGGAGCGCAAGGAAGGCACGGCTTCTCCCTTACTCTCTTCACCTCCTGTGCACTTCTGGGCTAACTTCAGGAGTTCCTCACCAGTTGTGAAGCCAACCAAATAGTTCGAGTCCATGTGGAGGATCTGGTAGCCTGATACCGTCCGGCGCATCGGCGAGCATGGCGTGCTGGAGCAGCGGGGCTTCTCTGCCTCTGCCTTCCCCGGGGAGCTCACCTCGGCCACGGGCAAGGGCAGGGTGCTCAGGGTACTTCTGGACTCTCCATTAACATCTACTTCCATTTTAGGCACCAGTCTGCACACCCCTAAAAGCAGATAGAGAGATTAGAAGATTGCAACGCACAGAACCTGGGGCCGAGCTGGATCATTTTTGAAGGTTCAGGGAGCATGAAATAACACTGGCCTGAAAAACAGCCAATGTACAATGGACAGATCTTTATCGTCTATTACACGTTCCACAGCACACATGAAATGACTACTACTTCTCTGCCTCCAAGAACTCAAAGGCAGGTTAAATTAAAGTCCCAAGTAATACTAAACAGTTCAGACAGAGAAGCCTACAGAAAACATCCTGCTCTAAATACAGCGCTCTGTTCAATCACACGGTTTATTCCTTGATGTGATATTAAGCAAATCAAATACAGGTCTCAACATTAAGCAAATAAAAATAATCATGTACAGTTTCACAAGAATCCACAAAACCTTTCCAACATGAAAATTAAAATCTTTCCATTTTCGCCCTGGCTGGTTTGGCTCAGCGGTTAGAGCGTTGGCCTGCGGTCCAGAGAGACCCGGGTTCGGTTCCTGCAAAGGGCACGTACCTCGGTTGCAGTTTGTCCCCAACTCTGGTTGGGTTGTGCGAGTGGCAACCACTCAATGTGTCCCTTTTACATCGAGGTTTCTCTCTCTTTCTCTCTCTCTCAACTTCCCACTCTATCTGAACAAAAAATGAAAAATTGTCCTCAGATGAGGATAATAAATAAATAAAATAAAATCCATTTTCCATCATTTGATTTAAAATAAGTGCTCAGCTCTTCCACGTGCAATTCTTTTAAACTGTGTTTAAGGGGCATATAAGAAAAAAGATAAAGCTGACCTATTTCTGCAAAGATTCCAATTTAGGACTAAAAAATTTTCCTCATAGTATGGAGGAAGGCACTGCCAAACCTTGTAAATGTTCCTCCTTCCATATCCCCAGTGAATTATTTAAAGATATCCATTTTGTAGTTTAAAGGTTAATCCTAAATCCAATAAATCGTGTTTAATATTAAACATATATAAAATATCATGTTATTTTATTTGACCATTTAATTATAAAATATGCCAACTAAGACACTACACTTTTGAATAGTTTAGTAAATGGCAGAAGAATTCATAATGGACACTAATATTACTCATTAGAATAATCACATTACATTGTTTGGAAAACCCCACTGACAAGGAGTACCACAAATAATGGCCAGGTTTTTAGAAAGTTGCAGATAAATCAAATTTTGGAAAATAAAATACTAAGGGAACCTAAATGACAATGCCATTTCTGAGAAACTTTATTTCTACTTGATCCTCAGTTAGAAGTAGATAACATCGTTTTAAATTTGCTAACCAAAATCATGTCAACTAATAATTGATTTTAAAATTAAATATTTTTGAAATAGGCTCTTATATTAAATAATTCCTATGAATCCTTTTGTAAAACAAAACCTTATCCTAACTAAGTCATTTCCTAAAATTTGGGTATTCGTTTACAATCCAAGCAATTAGAAAGCTAAACAAAAGCCATACTTCACTGGCTGCACTTTCTTCATCAGAAAATAAGTAAACCAAGGCTACTGTATGCAATTACCAGATGCCATCCTGCCCTCACTCTGATCCACATCTATAGCACCACTGAAACTAACGTTAATAACTCCTGAGATAAAACAAACGCTAAAGGGATCAATATCGTTTTATTTACTTTTTACTCTAAATCTTAGACTATTTCCCATTTTAATTTAACTAAAATACCTTAGCCCCTCAACCCCTCTACACTTACAGTAATTAGCTTTATTCTACTTTGTTAATGTAAAAATAAATTTGTATTTGAGTGTGTATTTCTCTATGGAGAAGACAGAAGCAGGTAACTACCAGCTACGTTTGATATGCATACTGAAACCTAAAGATTTCTCATCTAAAAAACTTTAGAGGGCCATATGAAGCTTCATCCAATCTTATGCTGAAGAAACAAATGTGTAAGCCAAATGGCAAACTAATTCTTCCTTTCTCTCTCATTCTGTTGAACAGAAAGAGCACAAGAAAACAGCTTATTAATTGAAGGCTTCAACCTATGACATCTGACAGGCAGAAAGTGATTCTGATACTTTATTATGAAAAGATAATCAGAGGGGTGTCAGCAAGGCCAAAACCAGGGCTGTGGAGGAAAGGGAGCATACAGTCGGCCCTCGTTTATTGCGATTAATCAGTTCCAGACTCTACCGCGAAGTAGGATTCTTTATTTATACACAGTATAGTATTTGAAAAAACCATGAGAGAATGAAGCCCCGAAAGTCGGAGCGCGAGGTGGTGAGGGACAACTGTACAGACTGGGCGCCCCACCCAAGCAGAGTTGCCCAGGTGGTGACATTCAACCATCAGCACAAGGAGTGACACTGGTCCAGGTCTCTTCCAAATCTGGCAGTCCAGGAGAGTCCATGGATTTCCACCAGCCACCGTACAGAATTCCCATTTGGTATGTGATGAACTTCCTACAATCCATCATTCACACACTCCCCATTCTGAATTTGGTAATAATTTGAACAGAGGCTGAGCTGAAAGTCATCTTTTTTGCCCACAAGGGATAAAAATTGCTAAGCAAGTCAACGGTGTACAAAGTCACAGCGAAGAGTGAACACAGGCATCAGTGGTCAACAGGATCATCGTCACAGGGTCAATCCTGCTGCATCCAGGCAGACCATCAGGAATTCTTAGAATCTCTCGGGGTTAAGAATAAAGGATGACAGGATACAAAGGTTTGAGAGAAAAAGGCAAAAACTATACAGTAACTAAAAAATAAGTACCTAGGAAATTAGAAAAGTGATGTGAGGCACTATATAAAGGTCAAAGTCTTGGTAAGACCTGAAACAGACGCCACTGTTAGATGAGTAACTATCACTGGTTAAGTTTCCAGCAGCCAGTAACACCACAAAAAATATCACCTGGCGTGGGTAAAATTAACCATCAGATCTTCAAGCATCTAACTGATGATGACAGACGAGGATTTAACCTACATGCTTAACTAGATGTGGTTTAAGAACTCTGGAAATTTCAACCAAGCAGCCTGGTGTAAGAAACCTACATACTTAAATGACATGAACAACATACTCCAAGTAGAAAACACAACTTCATCAGAAAGTTAAAGAAATAGGCACTTCTAATACCCTCTCACAAATATTTAACTAAGTAACTAAGGTCCATACTCAATGTAAAATTTCTGAATCAGAGTCTTGCTGCACTGAAACACAAAAATGCTCATTTTAAGTAATTCTAAGGGTTGAACATTGCATTTTTTAAAGCTGTAAAGCATCAATACTCCTCCAAACCATTGGGTAATTTCAAAACTAACAGATCTTTTAGGTGGTTTCACTGGTCTCCACAGGGTACTGTCTGTCATAAGTACGAGAACATCTTCAGCTCTTGATATTGAAATAGGAAAGAGAATGGTGCAACCAGGACTCCTAAATATTGCTTAGATTTTTTGTTTTGTTTTTAGATCCTTTTACATATTGCCTTTCTAAAGAACATCTATTGCGTGTCACCAAGAAAGATGGGTGGAGGCTGGGTTCCAGACAAAGGAGCAATGACGGGCAAATATTTCCTTTTCAGCTAGGTGGAATGCTGACTAAGCGGTATACCTTCCTTCTTCAGTGTGACTGAAACAACTTTCTATGCTGTTATATTCCCGACAATTTCCTCACGAATTTAAATACTGGAGCAAGATCCTTAGAGCAGTTACAGCATCAACTTTCTCAGGTTATCTTTCAAGTGGTCTTAAGTGGTGTAGGTACTGTCCTACCTGAAACAGAGGAAGTCTATGTATTTTCTAATTCTAGAAATCTACCCAAAAACAGATGATGCTAAAGGCAATAAAGACTGAATGGTTTCAAAGTCAGCATATCTTGATATATGAATGTCCAATATTGTGCACTGCAAAACTTCTTATTAAAAGTCATTCATGCCCAGCCGGTGGGGCTCAGTGGTTGAGCGTTGACCCATGCACTAAGAGGTCGCCGGTTCAATTCCCGGTCAGGGCACATGCCCAGGTTGTGGGCCAAATCCCCAGTGGGGGACATGCAGGAGGCGGCCAATTGATGTTCTCTCTCATTGGTGTTTCTATCTCTCTCTAAAAAAATCAATAAAGAAAAAAATAAATAAAAAAACAAAAATAAAAGTTATTCACGCCTTGGCCCATTTGGTTCAGCGGTTAGAGCGTCGGCCCGCAGACCAGAGTCAGTTTCGATTCTGGTGAAGGGCACATACCTTGGTTTGTCCCCGGCCCTGGTGGGGATCATGCAGGAGTCAACCAGTCAATGTGTCTTTCCCACATTGATGCTGCCCCCCCCCCCATCTCTCCCTCTCTTCCTTCCTCCCTCCCTTGCTCCTTCCCACTCTATCTGAAGATAAATGGAAAAATATCCTCTGGTGAGAGTTAAAAAAAAAAAAAAAAGTAATTCACCAGGAATGAATGACTATAACTGGAGATGGCCTGTGTTCAGCAGCAAATTCTTCCTATTTTACTGTGAAAAAAACCTGCTTGTAAGTTTTTAACCAAGTTATTCATGTCTAAGTATTTTGTTTCACATTCTAAAAGAACCTCGCATCAAAAAAGCACACCGCCCAGACAAACGGCCACGAAGCAGGCCTGTGCAGCCTGCACGGCTCCCACAGCATCACGGGGAACGAGTGTGCACGGAGAAATCTGCCCCAGGCTCACTTCTGCTCTGCAGAACACCACGGACCAGAAACCAGCAATACCCTTACTGCTTCCACTAATGCCTTTCACATATAGTTTAAAGCAAAGAGAAAGACAGAAAACTGAAAAAGTATTGTTATAATAACAGAAGTGCAAAAGCTCAGTGGCTAGAAGCGTCTGAAACAAAAAACGCAATGAGAACAGAAAAGTCAACTTGTAGCTGAACAATGCTTTTAAAACTGAGTTTCTAAAACAAGTACCAGACACAAATATAGTTCTTCAAATGACACCTAAGGGTCTTCAATATCAGATTATCTCATAATCCAACCAGTAACAATGGCAATAACATATATTTATAAAAGATGTGAAAGACCTGGCCATGTTCACAGGTACCACTCTATTTCTTTGAAATGTATGAGGATTCAAACTAGATAACACGAGACAAGCAACACTTTAACATTTACCAGGAAAAGTACACAGTGCGCATTTTAAGAACAATGGGTGCAGCACACACTTGTGAATTTTGGCTGAAACTAGAGCAAACATCTAAACCAATACACATGCAGAAGGAACTTGATGCACTAAGACGAGCACATTCAAAACACTGTGACCGCTATGGAAACTGATCAGCTCTGAATACTTTCCAAGAGGCCACTTCCCACACGTTTGGCAAAAGGAGCAACATTTGAAAAATATAACCTAGATGCCTTAGCTCCTTAGACCATCTCTGAATATAGCTGATAAGTTTCACAACTGCTATACAAAGAATTCTTTTCGAGAAGTACTGAATGTTTTTTTAAATCAGGCTTATCAAAAAAAAGTCACCCTCAGTAATCAAGAAACTGCTCCATATGCTTGAACTGTTTTTAGAAACATACAGCAACATCACTTAAGAGAAAACAGACAGACCATAATTCTAACTATACAGAATAAAAATGTCATCATGTGAACAGAATTTTTTCAAGAGGTACCAGACACAAACCATTCAGAATAGAGCCATTCCTTGGGAAACAAAGTCTCTTAAGCATGGCTATTATCAGTTTAATGATGTCAAGAACCATGACATTTTAGTGCAGAATCATCTTGGAGCCCGGAACCTCCGAAAACAGAGAAGACAACCCTGAAGCCAGAAGGCAGGGGCTTGTCCAGAGCCATGCAGGCAGTCCAGGTCTCCGGCTCCAAGTGCCGTGCTCCTCTGAGTTCACCCTGCTGTGCTTTTGCGATGTGGTTCCAAACTCGTCCACACACTGACATCATCAAAGAAACTTCAAAAATACTGATGTCTGTGCTCTACCCGAGTTGTGATTTAATTAATCCGGGGTATAGCCTGAGCTTTGAAATTTTTAGATCTCCAGGTGATTCTAAGATGCTAACAACGTCTGGGACCCTGTCGGATAGAACTTCTCCGACAGAAGAATTTCACCCCTATAAGTTCCTGCCCTCCCCTTTTTTAAATCAATAATTAAAGTTATATTAGTGACCATCATTTTTAGCTGCTTCCAATTGCTAACAACCTATCTCTGAGGCCTTCAAGTTCACTGTTCCTAATCCGCTGTGGGCTTTAAAAGAATCTGCTAACTAAACTTGTTAAAACTGGATATAAAATAAAAATCTGTGCCGAATGAGAATCAGGTCCTTCACCTGCATACACTTTGGTATAGTTATTCTACCTCTGTCAGGTACAGCCACTTCGGAAAATTTGACAATTTCTTACAAATTTAAATAAATGCTTATTAAACAACCCACGTACCTTACTTGTAGACATCAACCTAGGAAACATGAAAACAGACGTTCACACAGAGAACTAAATGTGAATGTTTATAACAGCTTGATTAATAATCACGCAAAACTGGAAACAAGGCAAACATCCACCAACGGGGAAATGGACATACTGTGCTCCATCCATACAATCAAATACCACTCGGCAACAAAAAGGAGCAAACTGTAATTGCAGTGAGTGAAAGAAGCAGACAGAAAATGCCACAGACTGTGTGATTCCACTTACAAGATGTTCTGGAAAAGGGAAAACTACTGGGCAGAAATCAATCAATGACTGTCTCTGGCTGGGTTGGGGGGAGGGGACAGACTACAACGGGGTACAAGGGAATTTGGGGAGGTAGTGAAATATCCTATATAATGATTATAGAGGTCATTACACAACTGGATATATTTGTCAAAACCCGGCACACTCTATACCTTAAAAGGGTGAATTTCATTGTATATAAATAACACTTTAATAAATCTGACTTTAAAAAGAAAGTTGTCGCCCTGGCCAGTTTGGCTCAGTGGTTGGAGCGTTGGCCTGTGGACCAGAGAGTCCCAGGTTTGGTTCCCGCTAGGGGCATGTACCAAAAAATAGAAAGTTGTCATATACTTCCAAGTTTTTGATGGTCCTCCAAATTTTCTATTCCTGTAGCTACAGGGGCGTGTGTGTGTGTGTGTGCATCCATATTTCTCCATATGCATGTGTACCGATGTATGTATACATAGTTATAGATATAGTTACATGTATAAACAGGACATTCTAACAGAACTGCAGAGGAAATGAACCAGCTTCAGAAGTAGTCAGTTACCTGTCATTTAAGGTATTCAAACATAGGCTGTGCAACCATTAAGCTACCTTCTGATTCGGAGAACATACAATTTGAAGAATTTTAAAAATCGGAGGACCAAATTTTGTGCTTTATTTCAGTTGTAGGAGTTAGTGACCCAGCCACATTCGTATTCAAAATCCTCTAAAAGTACTTTGTACTTAAGATTTTCAAACTATTTGCTCTTTTTTTCAAAAGAAAATTTCAGTAGTATTTCCACTTTCTCAGTGTTTTAAAATGTATTTTCATAAATTTAATAGACTACATCTACGAAACAGTTTGTGTTTCCCCATCGTCCTCTGAATCATTCTGCTGCTGACTGATAATTTGGAAATCACTTATTATGAAACTGCTCTTTTCAAAGAGTGTGACCACTCTAAACAGTTCAGAAAAAGGACCTGGAAAGATATTGGCCAAGTACAATGACATACGAAGCAGGAACTCACACTAATCTAGTTCGTAAAATGCTGAAGAGTTACAAAGATCATTATTCGTTTTCTTCCCCTTCAAAGACTTGGAGCCACATGAACAACTGTGTCAGCACAGATACACAGAGGACACACTGAAAAAGACAACTACTGGAAAACAATAGCATTGCATATTTTTAACAGTTTGAATTCATGGTGTGATAAAAGGACTGTCACGCTTGCAGTGACCCGCTATTTGACTAAGTGAGAAAGATGTCCCTTTCAGTCACCTGTTTGCCATTCGTTATGTATAATAACATACAACTAGAACATTTTGCAAGTTAGTTGGCCAATCTTTGGAAACTAATGTTTTTACTAAAATTTCCCTGAAATTACAGCAACTACATTTTGAAATATTCCATAAGACCTCCTTTATCTTAGAGAAACTAAAAAAGGAAAATCAACTTAATCAAAAATTTCAAATATAATGTTAATTTTGCAACAATAATTTCAGTTCTCACCATTAAAATTTTAACTGTAGTATGCACATTGCAATAATATACTGAGATTTCACATTTATCTGTTCATGTAGTTCTTAAAACACATTATGATATTATGTTCATACAACTGGTTAACAAACAGAAAAAGCAAAATGTAACTCACCAGACTAAATCCCAGAAGATGTCACTGTACAATTTCCAATGAGACCCAAGGGAACACAGGCATAATAATTTCTCTGCTCTATTCCAGATACTAAACATGAGATACAAAAATAAACCTTTAATTTAACAAGTAACAAAACTTATAAAGCAATTATATCAATTCTAATAGCAAAACAGGATGAAATTAGCAGGCAGTACTAATACCAGGTACAGGTTATGCAGGTTACAATAGTAATTACTTTAATTAATTTTGAATTTGTTTAGCTGAATTAAACCTCAAACATTTTATCAAGCTTGCACCTCTGTGTTTTGTTGATTAAGCTCTACCTGGAGACTAAGAATAGCTACCTGGGCTACATCTTAGGGATTTCAATGTTGGTTCCACCACCCAAGTCCTATTTATTTAGAGGTTCAACGCTCACAGTATCCTATGAAAAAAATAACCCTAAGGCTGGGGTCAAAAGAACAGGTCCTACCCTAGTCTTGCTAAGAAAGCTGCCTCTTGACCTTGCGTAAACAGCAATGTTTAAATTGAGGACAGCAGCATCCTTCCTCCCTCACACAGTAGTCATGTGAATCAAATGAGATAAGGTAGGTGAACACATGTACTCTGAATGCTGCAAAGCCCTTTATGATGTGTGGTGTTATTATGCAGTCAATTTTGGTATCCACTCATTTTAGCCATAAAATAGCAACGATAAAAATCCTTCATAAGACTGCTCTGAGGCAAATGATTGGAAGGCTCTTGGAAAACATACAAACAAAAACCAGAACTTGCACAAACACTCCTTTAAGTTATCATATTGCTTAAGGTTTCTAGCACTACCTCCGTGCCTTCCCCTCTTACCTGGGGAGGTAAAGGTGTAAGAAGACTCCCCAAAGTCCTTTCCACCTGTAAAGGTTTCTTTAGTTGAGTTTTCTGTTGTGTTTAACCTTGGAGGTGGGGCTGGTGGGGGCGGGGGAGGCCTCAAATGAACCCAGTGGACACATTTTACCTACATAGGTGCACAGGGTCAGAAGAAGTGGCCAACAGGCCAACAGAATATAAACAGAAAGTGAAAGGATTTTGTCACGTTATTCTTTTCCTTACCAACCTAGATGAGTTTTATTCAAAGGAAATGCATAATTACTGAGTTAAAGATATTTGTTTTCATGGCTTGAGGAACTGGAAGGAATTAATGCACCAAGAACCCTCATTCCAAGAAACTAACACGTTTCAGCTTGGGAACCTCTTAGATTTAGGTAACACACTCTCATTTCTTTTGCCACAAATTATTTTCAAATTGGGTAACCAAGAAACCTAGATGATTAAGACTTGGTTTTACCCCACCAATGAAGCCTCTGGTTTTAACATAAAGTGAACTGTAATGTAACAACAGTGGTTACCTAACAATAACAATTTTTTTAATCCTCCCCCGAGGACATTTCTCCATTTTTGTTCAGATAGAGTGGGAAGGAGGGAGGGAAGAAGGGAGGGAGGGAGGGAGGGAGGGAGGGAGGGAGAGAGAGAGAGAGAGAGAGAGAAAGAGAATCATCGACATGAAAGGAACACATCAAGTGGCTGCATCCCACAGGACCCAACCAGGGCAGGGGAAGAATCACAACCGAGGTTTGTGCCCTTTACCAGAATCCAACTCTCAACTCATTGGTTTGCAGGCTGACACTCCAACCGTTGAGCCAAACCAGCCAGGGCAACAATAAAAATTTTTATTTAAAATAGTCATATCCAGAGAACTTTCCCAATACTGTTAATAAAGTTCATATTAATTCCATATTTAAGTAAAGAGATGTTTAATGGGGAAGGGAAATAAAAGAAACTAACATTTTTGAGCACCTTCTACATGTCAAATGCTATATTCAATGTAATATTTACTACTCCATGAGGAAAATATCCCTGCTGTAAAGTATTTGAAGAAGTAATGCTATTTGAGGGTCAGAGCAGGAATTGGAACCCCAAACCATCTGACTCCGAAGCCCACTGACATTGCTTTAGATACGAAACTTCATTCCAGCTTTGAAAGCAGAGAGGCCTTAAAGTAATTATCTAACTCTTGCACTGGCGCTTATGTGAAGTTTAGGAAATAGTCCGTAATTCCATAGTAAACAAAGTGTAGTAACTGATTATCCCTATTATGCCTGTGCCAAGCTAAAAATAGAATATAAACACACTGACCAAGAGAGCCACAGAGGGCAAACCCAAGGTGCAGGAGGCTCCATTCCACTTCTCATTTTTTACTGATTTCTGACTCTGCTTACTGGTTTGTGTGTAATTGCCTGCTATCTGTGCACAGATGCTAAGAAGAAAATGATGAAGATGATGAAAATAAGAAAAAAATTAAAAGAACAGGGCCAGAAACTAAAAGAATTATTCTTTTTTAAAGAGATTGCCTATAAAGGAATCCACTAAAAACATTATAGTAACCCATCTCCCATTAGAAACAAAACATTGTAATATTAACATTCTCAAAATATACTTTTGAAATAACATCTTTAGAATACTTTAAAAATCTATAAATCTCTAACACCTGCAATCAATTCTGGCCACTGTTTTGAACATGAAAGCTTGTTCAATGGATCACCTCTCAAAAAACAATCAGCAAGAAGGAAAAGAACTCATGTGAAATCCTTACAGGGTAGACTAAATGCTGCATAGAAAAACAAATTCAAATAAACAGAGCGAAGCATTATATAGAGTATATAATGCTTTCAGCTATAAGCAGCTGTAACAAATAGAAAGCCCAGTGACATTACCCTGTAAGCAATGAAAATAAGAAAAATTAAGCACGGTCAAGAGCTGTCTACAGGCCTCTGGAGAGGGAGACCATGAGTGACTAAGCAAAAGACACCCAACAATTGACTGCAAATGAGGCTTCTACAAATAGAAAAGTTTGCAAACAGTAACTAGCAAGTGTGTCAAATTTCTCAGGCAAGATGATAGATAGCATCAGAGGTAAATAAAGAATGTCCTTCAAAAGTCGAGTGGCCACATGTCTCAGGTCATAGCCTCCAGTGCCCTGGCATAATTGTTTACAGTACCCCCTTCATGTCTCAAAAGTATCCCAGTTTGGGAATTATATTGTTATCCTACTCAAAAATAATAGATAACAATGGAAAAGCAATGACTTAAGGAAAGGAGGGAGGAAGGAAGGACCCTCTGTTTGCATAATGGCTTCCCATACAGGTCTGAGGAGTCTCTTTGGGTGTATCCACTCAGCCATTTAATTATTCATTTACCCATTCAGTCATTCAACAATATTTCAAGTCTTATTATGCCCCAGCTCTGTATATGCACTGGGGCAAATACAAAAAGTGAAGCCTGAGACTAGGCAAGAGGGAGAGACAGACAGACATGGAAATACATAAAGCCAACAGACAAAACAGTAATCCTGAATGGCACTGTGAACCCAGAGAAGGGAGTGATTTCACCAAAAATCTAGAAAGCTCCACATGGAAATGTTTAATTAAGCCCACACAAAAGCCCTACATACTAAAAAGCTGTAAAACTCAGGCTTCAGCATAGATCTACTAACAAACTAGCAATAAGAAAAAATTTAACAAAATCTATCAGTTCCAAATCACAAGGTTATAAACATGAAGGGAATTTTGGGTTATAGGGTCTAATTCTAGCTCTCAAACACAAAGAAAAAAATGGAAACAGGTAGTGCTTTTCAGAGTGACTATTTGAGGAGAGACCAATAATGTTAAAAGACTTGGGGGGAAAATAGCAATTTTAAAAGTTCCTTTGAGGCTAATGAAATATTTTGCAACCATCGGTCTCAAAGATTACTCTAAAAACACTAAAAGAGAGAACGACCAAAACATCTCTCAAATTAACAGAACACTGAACAGAAATAAAATGACTTCACAACATACACGATGAAAACACAATGCCTAGCTGTGCACACATGCTCATCTTAGAGTTTACTCTAAAATGATCTTACTTTTTCATTTGCAACTCATAAAAATGAAATCACCAATAATTTTTAAGAAGAGTTAAGGTGTGACTCTTCTGAAACCATTTTCGACCATACAAACAAATCATTAACCTCACCAATGTGGCAAGACAACCCATAATGGGTTCAGGAAGACAAAAATGTGTTTTTCTAATATCAGTTCTTTTAATAGCAACCCCTTAAAGTACAGAACGCGTTTTCTATTTCTGCTAGAAGTTAAAGCTAGATTATCAATATCTTATCATTAGGTGAAAGCATCCTCCTACCTATTTTAGAAAAAAAAATTCAATTTCACTACAAATGTGACTGAGGGTGAGAACTGCAGGTCTACATGCAGCCTTTAAAAGAAATATGCCTCTTTGGAAGCACAGCCAAAATGGGACAGGTGTACACTGTGGAACTGGCAACATTTCCAAATGAAAGCTTAAAACTAGGAACATACTTTGATAGACGAGTGACAAAATCAGTGTTCTGCCTGGAAGTGAAGAGCTGATCCCCCTGCACCCAGGATAAAAATTTAAATCCTGGATATAAAGTTTTGTTACTCCTACCACATTAAATTAAAGGTTAATGTGTACAGTGCCTCTCCAAAGTACACAAAATTATACAGAGAAAGTAAAACTCACTAACTATATGTAAAGTCAATAAATACCCGATATTTTGTATCCTCGTATGGTTACTAAACACTCTCAATTGCAGTAGAATAAACTGTTCTACTGCAGAAGCATATTCTTATCAAATCAAGAAGTCTCTGGGCACATTAATCTTTACATTTCATTTTGGTCATTTTATTAAGCTTGTAATGCATACACAGGTACATAATAAAACACTGAGAAATCTGTGAAACATTCATTAAACATAATTGTGTAAGTATAAATCATGGTATTACAACATCTTCTGTAATAACCAGTGCTGGAGAAATAAAGTAACTGGAGAAATAAACTTTGGAAAGAGGTCATTTCTATCTCTCTAGCGTCTTGCCTGCTCTATGGGGTTAAAATCAAACACCATAACAATTCTAAATTGCAGGGTGCTCATCTGAGAAAACGAATGTAAAACGAAGAGTCTACCAACGTCAGTAATGTTGTGCAAGAACTGTTCTTTCGGCTAGGAGTAGCAAGCACACTATAAAATGCTTCTGCCTCCATTTTTCCAATTCCTCAAAGAGTTAAAAAGTTCCCAGCCCTAGTTTTACCTGTGCACCACAACCACACACACACTCACTCAGCATCTTGGCTCAACACCAACTACTAACCCACTGGGTGCAAACTGACATGGGTGAAGAAGCAGGGAGACCCTGAGGATATGGAACACTGACTGGCAAGGGGAAAAGGACGGGGCCATCGTTCCCTTCGTGTTCCCGTCTCCTTTCTGGCAGAGATGTGCAGATTCCACCACTAGAGTTTGGCAGCCTCACAATGGGGCCGCCTGCTCAAGGTCTGACTGCTGCCCGCATGGAAACCCCTCTCCTCCGCTCCCCACTCGCCCCAAAGTCCACCCGCGACAGGTGGGGCGAGGGCGGCGATGCCAACGACATCTGCCGCTTTCGCTTCAGGCCAGCACCCGGCGCCAATCCACACGAGCGCCCCCGGTCAAGGCCGGGCCCCGTCCCCGCCGCCCCGGCAGACCCGCAGCCGTCACCGGCTGCAGGCTCGCGGGCTGCCTCCCACCACCCCAGCCCGCCGAGCCGGCGAGGACGGCGGGCGCGATAAGAACGCCGAGGCTCGCCCAGAGGCACTATCTGGTCCCGGCAGTCGCACCCGGCGTGCGGCCGGGCACGCGGCCACAGGCGCAGCAGGCCTGGGAAAGAGCTACTTCTCAATGGGGCCCCCAGGCCCGCTGCCCCGCCGGGCTGGCACAGAGCGGAGCGGCGAGTGTGCGCGCCAACGCGCCGGGACTTCCGCGCCGCCGCACCCCGGGAGAGGCGCTGCGGGTCGCCGAGCCCCCACTGCTCCCCGAGTCCCCGCAGCTCCCCGGCGTGCGCACGCCGCGCGCACACGGGGCGCACGCCCCCGCACACTCACTCACACGCGCTGCACACTCACGGCGTCTCCGGCCCCACCCCTGTGCCAAAGAACCGCGGGTTCCCCGCACCCGGCAAGGGCCCCACCCAGTTCACTCTACCCCAGCCCCCTGCTCCAGCGTCCAGGGACCTGCCCGCCGAGGCCGGGGATCACGGGGGCCGCCTACCCCGGAGGCCCTCCAGGCCGCGGTTCACCAGCACCGCGCGGGCTCCGCGCCCGGCCCCGACACGAGGAAGGGAGGAAGGGGCGGCGCCGCGACCGGGGCTGGCACTGGGAGTCGGTTACTGGGGCACCCCACCACCACCACGACCCGCCCGTCACCACCTTTTCTGCAGCACAAAAGGTTGCAGACGGAACCGTGCTCCCCATGCAACCTACCGGTGGCTCACCGCTTCTCCGCCTCTGCCGTGCCTGGGGCTGCGGAGCCACAGACAAGGGCGGGAGCGGCGCAGGGCTGCGGCGCCGAGACCCGGGCTGAGGCCGCCAGCAGAGCCAGCCGGGTACCCTCTCCTCTCCCACCGCGCTCAGCGCCAGCTACCGCCCGGCGTAGTCCCCGCCTCCCCCTCCTCCTCCGCCCGCCTTCCCGCCCTCCTCTGGCTGCAGAGGCGCAGCCCGTCAGCGCTGAGCCCGCCTCCTGCGCCCAGCCAGACACCCGGAGGAGGGCGGACCAGCCAGAGAAAGGCGCTCGGGAGGCCTGATGAAGTTGGCCGGCGGGGCGGAGCTGCTGGCTGAGGAAGGGAAGGCGGAGTCGTAACACCCCCTCCCCAGCCCATTCCCAGCACTACAACTGAAGAGCCTAAAGCCCCAACCCACAGACCTGGCAACACTCGGCTTTCCCCAGTTCAGTGGTGGGGTGATGTTTGTCATTTATGAGTACCCGCTTAAAGGATTCAGCACTGAGCAGAAGTAGAAAAGACTAGAAGCCCATGAAATTACAAATTATAAGATCAATCTTAGAAAAGTGCTAAATATCTAGTGAATGGGAGGGTAAAATTCAAATTGTTACAACTGTTTTTGAATCTTCAGACTTGATTTTTTTCTATTCTTGGAAGAAATTATTTTCTTTGATCAAGATTTTCTATTCTCAATTCCTGTACATCTCCCCTGCCAACAAGTAATAAACTCAGCGATAAGAATATGTACTGATGTTTATTTAGCTCTCACTATGCACCAGGCCTTTTTACATGTGTTTTCAAATTTACAAGGCTCAACAATTCTATAAATTAGTGACCAATTATAATCCGTATTTTAAAGATGTAGAAAGTTGAAATAACTTCCTAAATGTAACACACCTAGTTAGTTGCTGAGCTGAATTTGAACCCAGGCAATGGAATCTTAGAATTATTTATAAACGTTGCTGATTTATGTTCTGGTCCAAGAGAATAATAATAATAATAATTCTTCTTCTTCTTCTTCTTCTTCTTCTTCTTCTTCTTCTTCTTCTTCTTCCTCTTCTTCCAAAATACTTTATCTAAAAATAAAAGGCATAAACGTGGTGTAAATTAATACAAATTTAGACAAATCTTGATTCAAGTTTATTCCAAAAGCTATATATGCCCCTGATAATATAAAGGTAAGTAAATAAATGTGAACACCCCTACTTGATGCCTGGAAGCTCCTCATCTAGAAGACATTTTATACTACTCTGTGTGCCCTAAAGTAAATAAGGGAAGATAGAAGGAAAAGGACATTTTGACTAAAGAACAAGTTTAGAAAACATAACTCACTTTGTTCCAACATAGATATGTATGTAACTTCTTGAGTATAGAACCTGACACAACATAATGTGTGTTGAATAAATGAATGGCCTTTGTTTTTGTGTCAGTGATTTAGGAGAACACACTGAAAGTTATTTCAGATTATAATGTTTGACACAGTAGTGTATTGTTCTGATGATCATGCCCATAAAACCACCTCCAAAGCATTGAATATTTTATATTCAGAAATTTACTTTTATTCTGTCCTGTCTGAAATTTTATAATCTTTTCAGAAGAATGACTTGTACTTGCCCTTTGCTCTGAAGGTTTGGCAATGTTCTTTAGCCAAAAGCAATAAAATCCTGCTTTGCCTTTAAGTTTATTAGGCTCTGGGCTAGCCCTCTTGAGAGAGCATTGTCTCCAAATTGCCTCTCTTCCTGGGTGGTGCTCTAGGTTCCCATTCTAGCCCTGACTCCTCACCCAATCAAAACTTCACTCAGTTCTTGACTGTCACAGAGAACACCTAATAAACCAATTCACCAGGCGGTTAATGGCTGATAACAAACAGCTTTATGTGTGGGCCCTTGGTGACATGTCTATGCCACTAAAGACTATGAATGGGTACTGTCTTAATTCAGATCAGTTGTGGCTTGCAAAAGCTGGGTCTGAGGAGTGTGCGGGTGATGGGAGTGACACAGAAGCCCTTCCCAGGGCTTTTCTATGTTCTGTGAAGGTCTATTCAATCTATTTTTTAAATGGCATACTTATAAAGAATTAGGAACAAATGTAGAATAGGTCTTGTGATCTGAAAGGCCTCTGAGTCTGGGGAGTCAGACACTCTGCCTGCTGTGTAAGTTGCATCTTTGCCTCAAGGCATCCTTCCCACAAAATCACTTTAAAAGAATGGATTTCTGGGAAAGATGATAGTTTTTAAAAAATTTGTATTCCCTACCCCTTTATCTTTGGCAACCATCAGCTTGTTCTCCATATCTACGGGTTATGTTTCTTTTTTGTTTTTTATTGCTGCCTAATATTATATTACACACACACACACACACACACACACATACACACACACCACGTCTTCTTTATCCATTCATCTGTCGATGGACACCTAGGTTGCTTCCATACCTTGACTGCTACTAGTAATGCTGCGGTAAACATAGGTGCGCTTCTGTCTTTGCAAACTAGTGTTTTTGTTTTCTTCAGCTAAATACTCGGAAGTAGAATTTCTGGATCATATGGCAGGTCTATTTTGAATTTTTTGAGGAATCTCCATATTGTTTTCCATATGCACTAATTGACAATCCCACCAAAAGTGTACAAGGGTTCCC